TTGTCAAACGGTGCTCCCATGTTTTCCATAGTAGTCTAGCTTCAATTGAATCATGATTTCAACTATTGAAGATAAAAACTATTTTGCTTTTCTTTTTCCATATTTTGTTTTATTAATTGATTTTCTTTAAAATGTGAATGGAAAAATAAAAAAATGGTTTCTCTATTTCATGAATATGGGAAATTTTATGCAATTGATTGTACCATTTTATTTTTGTAATATACAAGGTCACATGAAAGAAAACACTAGGACACGGAAAAAACTTTGATACAAGTAGACAATCATTAATTTTCCTTTTGAAGTAAAAAAGGTTAAAACAAAACAAAACAACAAAACATCAATCTATTCTTGAGTGCTGTTAGAGTTATGAGGGTGGTTATCACTTCCCGGTCGCCTACACCGTGGAAGGGTTCTTCAGCAGGTACCTAAAAAGGAAATTGGATTAGAGGTGGTTTTAGTGATCTGAGAGTGTGATCACAATGCCAGGGGACAACTCCTTGAGGTCGTTCACACATGACCTTTTTGTGAGTAATTTTTGCGTTAGCTCCTTACTTGTTGAGATCTTACAGCCAGGGACGGATATCCGTGGGATAGGGCGAGGTGTGCACGAAACTCACTCCCTGAATTCCACTGCTAGTCACTATCCATCTTGCTTATAATGCTTGTGAATTAAGGTAATTCCGAAGTAATACGCAAAGGATGTCAATAAATGACTGATCAATTGCAGTGCTAAACATTGATGGGAAGACTCAAGTAAACAATACCAGTGAATTCATATAGTGTAATGTTACGAAATGTGCTCAAAAATGTGTTTATTTTGTGCTGTCTTGTTGTTCTTGCATCATTTGCATTTATTTAATAGTGCAAAGAAATGAGAAAATAAGTTTTATTGAAATCACGACCCAATATGAGTTAGAAAACCCTTGAAAACATGGAAACACTGGATGGCTGTTTTGTCACACTTGTAATGTGATCTTCTCAAAACAATCAGCTTTTCTCAGATTATTGTTTTTACCGGATATAATGATGTAAACTACCGAGGAGTCCTGAATTAGGATAAAAACAACCGGATTTTTTCACAATAGTTCACCTTATTTAATCAATTCCTAGAATCTTGATTCAAAATATCTGAGGACATAATCCACAAGTCTAATGAATGTTACATCATTTCATTGTTCTCTTTGGTTGATTGAAAGATTTCTATCGTTTCTTGAATTACAGTAACCTATTTATGTCATTTAATCTAGACTCTTACTCAACTGTACAAATGTTGTACTACAATCTCATATTCTAGTTCATATTCAAATAAAAAGTCCAACATTTTTATGATAACTGATAACAGAATACATAAGAGGAAATAAGTATCAGAGCAAATGGTATTATTTAACTCTTTATCTGGTCTTTGAAGAAGAAGAAACAAGACATATTTAGTCTAAAATGTATTCAAGGGATAAACAATATATGATAAAATGTCGTAGTGTGATGTGTGATAATTATAACGACAGATATAAGTAGTATGTGACACCAATTCAAAGTAGAATACTTGGCAGTAGAAGATTGAAAAGGTCGAATACAAGAGGACAAGAACAGTGAATGATTGATATGAGACAATTGATTAACATTTTTTCAATGAATTATTGGACGTACTTACTTACTTACACTTGTTACTCCCAGTGGAGCATAAGCCGCTGACCAGCATTCTCCAACCAGCTCTGCCTTTTTTCTACTTCTATTAAATTGTTGTGCATTCTTATCATGTCTGTATCCATTTCTCGGTGTAATGTGTTCCTCTTCCACTTTGGCCTTGAGGATTCCAAGTGATGCAACTGGTCGCTTTCCTCAATGTTTGTTCTATCCACTTTCAGTACTTCTTCCTGATTTCTTCCTCCGCTGGGATCTGGTTTGTTCTCTCCCACAGTACGTTGTCGCTAATAGTGTCTTGCCAACGGATCCGAAGTATTTTGCGTAGACAACTGTTAATAAATACCTGTATCTTGTGGATGATGGCTTTCGTAGTTCTCCAGGTTTCTGCCTCATACAGTAGAACTGTCTTGACATTTTTATTGAAAGTTGTGACCTTGTTGTTGGTTAACTGAGAGTTGCTTTGAGTTCCAGATGTTCCTCAATTGTAAATATGCTTGCTCTTGCTTTGCCAATCGGCGCCTTCATATCTGTATCAGATCTACCTTATTCATCAATGATGTTACCGAAATATGTAAAGGTTTTTACATCTTCCAAAGCTTCTACAATGATATAAATATAAATGATTTCTTTCGATATTACATATGATTAATGCTTTAGCATAGAATGAAATCAAAAAAATCACAGGATGATTTTTGTTTAGTATTATTTTCATATTCAATTCATATCATAACTGTCCAGTTTACCATTCATATTCATTCAGTTCGATCCTATTTCAGTAGATGATACGTTTGTTTTATCCGGTTTGACAACTATTCAGTATACTACTATGTGTACTAATAAAATATTGTATTCATTTGATAGAACGTATAACATGAGTTTTGTTGTCATATCTATTTCGTTTTTTCTCCCTAATTCAGTTATAAGTATGATATTCATAGACTTTGATGGAGTTTTGTTCTCTGTTCTCCGAGCTCAAAGGACAAAACTCTATTAAAATCATTCAGCATCCAGCTGAAAATCTTCTCCACCAAATCAAATTGATAGACTTATTATCAAACATGATTAAATTAGTTATATAAATGAGTAGATTTGGTTAACTATCAGTATAGGGTTGTGGAGATTCTTAAGTTTTTTTCTTGATTGAGATTATGAACTCATTGATATTAGACCACCATTGAAAACCTTGAAGCACTGGACAGCCGTTTCATTCTATTATGGGACTCCTCCTTGGCAGTGAGTATCCACGATCCTGCTCGCGGGATTCGAACCCAGGGCTCCGATTTGGTTAAAATGAAATCTTCATCTACCTTTAATATTTTGTCATCTTCCTTGTGTTGTGTAAATCTTACTTTAAACATTACTGATAAGGGATTCATTGAATATTGTAAAGTTTCTACATTTGTATTGTTTTCATACTTATTACATGCAACTAAATCAGTTATATTTAATGTTTGTTATTTTCATTGAATGGTTCAATTGGATTGAAATTCCAATTAATCCTGGAGTTATGGCCAGCAGTAGGTGGAGGTGCTTGAACTATAGAATCAGTGTATATGAAGAATTATGGTCTACTATGATATTAGTACTGCTCTAATAATAGACCTAATCCTAAAATTGTAGATTTGTCATGATATAACTGCCTAATATATAAGATCTTACGTGGAAGTCACATCATCGTCTACACCAACTCACTACATCGTAACAATTACTAATACATGATAGAGAACAAACTTAGGTTATAGGTAGAACAATATATTTAATATGAATTAAAGATAAAAGGTGACATTCAGAAGGGACCACGCAAGGATGGGCAAGCCATGCCATACGATCAACTCCCATTAATTCAATACATTCTTCCCGCCCTCTTCATCGTTTGGTTTTTCTCCGTGTTAAATGTTGAATGTCCATTTCCTACATTGTCTCGTATTAGGGCTTAATGCCACTACATATACTATAAAACTCGAGCCTAGTATCTATCACCTAAAAAGCCTATTGAGTTATCCATTGAGCAACTGATTTCAACTAGCAACTGGCTTGTCATATGTGTATCAATTTTATTTGTATACGTTCATGTATTTCTGTTGTTGTTGTTGTTGTTGTTACGGACTATAATTGATAAGTCTTTTTTGTCGTATTTTACGTCCCATGTGTTGGAGACGTTAGATCCCACAGAACTCACTTGGGAAACGACCTAATTTTGTAATTTTATTTTGAAAATTTGAATTTCTTTGTTTTCGCGCCAAAAGCGTTCTTTTCACCTTCAGGTGGTATTTCCCACTCGAGAGAATCTCTAATGCTATTGGTCTGTTGTTTCTTTTAGTATGCTATTTTGTAACGCTTCCCAAGGATGGTTTTGTGCTGTATATTAAGTTTTGATTTGTGTGTTATTATCAATCGTGCTTTTGGCTTTTTTATGAAATATACTTCCTCGTTCGGACTTCGACCTTTCTCTTTAGTTAGCGGTGCCGGGATGCAATAGAATAGCTATTTTATTGATCTTTGGTCACTGAGTCTTTGTTCCGTTTGCAGTCTAAGTGAACTTGTAATCGCTTCAAATATAGAACTATATGAACTCCCTCGATATTCATATTCATTTCTTATCGCAATTGGGATTCAGTTATAGTCATCTGACAATTCCTAAATTGAACACAACGCACTTCCTCTATTCTAATACTAGACACTATTCTAACTGTACTTATAAACTTATGAGCATTTGGATCAAATGGAAGTGTGTTAATAGAGATTAATTAATTGTGATTTATAACATCAACAATAGATAGATACCAACACCCATGAAATGAATAGAATTATATTTTTGAAATTATCATTGAAATATGTCTATTTCATCCATCCATGTTACAATCACAATTGAGTGATCATTGGGTGGTGATCAATGTCATGTGTGTCAAGTCCTTATTTAGTGCAGATCGAATGCTATCAACCATGTTGCAATGTGGCCACCAGTCTAGGTGACTTGACACTGTGTGGACTATATATTGAGATTAGATGGTGGTTGAAGGTAGTCAACAGGAAACCCTAGACCCGGGTTTCCTATCGACTACCTCCAACCACCATCTAATCATGATGCAATGTTCAATCTATCTAATGATCACATTCAACATTATTCTATTAGACCAATATAAAAAGATAAGTATATATTACATAATCATTATAAGAAAACAATACATTCTATCACGAATCATTTCTTAAATATGATTTGTTTCTATTAGTAAACACCTATTTGATAACGCCTGAGTAAATATTTCATTGTTTACATTATCATAATGCCTGTTATTTTATTTCTCTTTCTTCCCCCCCCTCTCTCTCGCTCCCTCGTAACCAAATTTTTCATCTAGGTTGTCAACGGTTATTGGATTTTTGGAACAATGATCTGTGATATATTCATTATGTTCGATGTGTTATTCTGTACTGCATCAATACTCAATTTAGTAGCCATTTGTTTGGATAGGTAAATTAACTGTTGTCTTCTTTTTCTTAATTATCTCTAATATTTTTCTGATTATAAATTTAATTATATCCAATCATTGTAATGAAAGTCTTATGATTGTTTTCATCGCTATTTCATCTGTGTTACATATATGTGTTTGTGTGTGTTTTAAGGAGTGATTTCACTGACGGTAATGGTGGATGCGTAGTTCAATTTCGTGGATTGGTTGAAGTTAGACATTAGCACAGTTGGATGCCGGTCAACTTAGTGGTCTAGAGGTTAAGCGATCGAGCACGAGGCCGAAAGATCATGGGCTCAGATCTCGCGAGGCGGGATCGTGGATGCACATTACTGAGGAGCCCCATAATAGGACGACCGGACCAATGACGCATAAAACAATTACAAGTAGTCCAGAGTCCTTTTCGGTCCTGCTTCCTGCCTAGCCTAACCTGTTAAGTCTAGAACACCGATCTCAGCCTCTGCGATATGAACAATTTATTCCAAACATACTGGGATTATGTACATACCAAACAGACAACATCGTACCATAAAATAGGAAATGACATTTGTACAAAATCTAGCCCAAAGTGGCTGCGAATATGGGAGATAGTGATTGATAGACAAGTCATAACTCAAGACTGGTAAATCGTATAATAATAATCTATGAGTCAAAATAAAGCTTATAATAAGAGAAACATGAATATGAAGAGTTTATTTACTTAATAATTATACCATAAAAGTATATTGTATAGTATTAGTCCAGAAATAGATTCGAACAGTTACTATTCATTATTCTCATCGGGATATAACAGCGGTGTATGCTACTTATGTTGACAGACTTGAGTAGTATATAACAATAATCGAAGTAGACAACCTATCAGCATTAGTCTATAAAAGTTATCTTGAATAAATCAGGAATGGTAATAGGAATGAATTGTGCATTGAAAGGAACATACCTAATGTAAAGAATAAATGATCAAAATTTGGTTCACATATTTTACCAAGAGATTCAGTAAATTGATCGTCCACCCGAAAGTTCTCATCCATTGCAATTGTATGATCATTTTATAAGGGGTTTTCATTCAGATTACTAGTCTTAACAACAACAACATAAATAGATTTAACTAAACAAAACACACATATATATTAATAAATACTAATTGAGTGATTCACTATTTGTTGTTGTTTTTCTTGTGTTGATTTTCATTTTAATGCAAATCAACAAAAAAGCAAGCAAAGGAACGAGAAATAAATGGATTGGATGTTACCGTGATGAATATCTTGACTATTGACGTTTGTTTGTCTTGTCTCATTCTCAGTATAGGGGTGGTGGAGATTATTAGGTTTCGGATTGAGATCACGAACCGATTAATGTTAGAACATCATTAAAAACCTGGAAGCACTAGACAGCCGTTTCGCCCTATTGTGGGACTCCTCAGCAGTGCCTTCAGTCTCGCGAGCGAACACTTAACCCAACTGGACCACTGAACCGGCTGGTATCCAATTGTGGTAATGTCTAACCCTGAACCAATCCACGAAATTGCGCAACCATCTCCCATTGTACTGAAGTAGATACTTGTCTCTACCCAACACGGATTAACTCTATGGTCATGGTTTCTTACTAGAACTCCAAGAATTCCCTCACAAATCTAGTCACTAGTGAGCATATGGTAATTATCAGTATAGGGGTTGTGAAGACTATTTCATTCTCTTCTTTTTTTTACTTTTTAAGCAAGTAATTGAGTAATAAATCAACATGTTTTTCCATTCTTTTATTTGATTTACATTTAAGACATAGTATAAATGAATCTGAAGTAAACAATAAGAGAAAATGCGATTGTATTAGATAGAAGAAAAAAAGAGAAAGAGTAACCGAAAAAACGACGACGACAACAACAACAACAACAACAGAAAAGACACTTGTTTACGAGTTTCTTTTTATTATCGACTATAGAAATAAATGATAGTCACAACCACTATACATATATATATGATTTGAATGAATGATCTAGTGAATGGAAAAACAGTTTCCATGTTAAATAAATATCCGTTCGTTCGATCGTTGAACCAACCAATCACCCACCCACCCATCCACCCACCTACTCACTCACTCACTCATTCACTTACTCAGCAACCCACCAACCCCCTCCCATCTTTAATATAAATTCGAATTTTTCATAAAGATAACAATTTTACAAATTATTCTATATATTTTTCTCTTATTTTTTCTTCTTCTCCTTCATTCATCTTAGATATATCCATTTAAAAAAAACTAAGGAAACAAAAGGAAACATAGTTAGAGTTGTTTTCTACTTTTATCTCATCATGATTTTTTTGTTTGTTTGTTTCTTGTTAACGTTGAAAACATTGAAATGACTGGTAGATTATACATGATGAAGTTTTATTTCTTTGATCTGGATAGTTTTTATACTGATGATATCGGTCAATAGAATGATGAAAGTTTCACAATCAAAACCATCCAATTCAAAGAATAAAACTCTATCACAAAATCATTCGTATTTGAATGACAAAAACTTCTCGACTATCCTCAAAATAAATTTCTCATTATGAGATTGTGAAGATTTGATTGAAATCATGAATTGATAAATATTAGACCAGCATTGAAAAATTGAAAGTCTTGGCTGGCCGTTTCATTCTAATATATATGTATATAAGTGTGTGTGTGTGTGTGTGTGTGTAGGAGGACTCATTCACAGTCACACTACTATTACAAAAACCAGTAAGTAATGAATAGCAATTTTGTCCTGTTCTCATGAATGACAAACTTTGATATTTAATTGCTGGGATTCTAGTAAGAAGCGGTAATTAGTAGAGTTCAGTCATGTTCAGTGTAAGACAATTATCTACATAAGGCAATAGAGAATAATCATTCATCATTTTGAATTCATTGAAGTTAGACATATACATTATTGGATCTTGGATCAGTAATTTAGAAGTTAAGTATTTATGAATGAGATTGTGAATGTTCACTGTTAACGAGCTATATACTATGACGAAAAAGCTGTCCATTGGTTATCTAACTAAGATCAGTCCGTTACTTAATTAATTAGAATAATAATTATTAATCAGCTTTATATCAACTTTTTTCAATCAGCTCCAATGATATCAACATTTTCCGATAATAATAATAAGATATATCAGGGTTAGAATAGAAGGAATGAGACTAGAAGTCGGGTTCAAGCTCACATTTCATCACGTAGCTGCATCTCTGGAGAGTAAACCAAGCATGGTTTCCATGGCTAATAGATATAAATCACCCCACTGTGGTGAAAGAATTGAGCAGTGGTTTTTAGATTGATTCACAATTCTACTGGTGAGATGGCCAATGATGTTTGGGACTTTAATAAGGGTTTGTTCAAGGGTTTATTCTTAAGGTAAGTGAGGCCTTTGTTTTTTTTATCATTAAAGGATGCTACCTGTGTGGAAGCATGCAATTCACACGCCTAACGTGCAGAAATGTAAACCGAATACTACCCAGTTATGTATGTATACCTGTGTACATACATTTGTCAGTAATGTAATTCCCATCGCTCCTTAACATTAGTTGGAGAATAACTGCTGTTTCAAATCACTCTGAGTTTCCTCAACATCTATAACACATTGAAAGAATAGATTATAATGGTTGTAAATCAAGGCAATATCGAGGTAATACTCACAGTATGCACATATGCCAATAAGAGACTGATCAATTTCAGTCCTGAACATCAATGGGAAGATTCAAGTAAAACAACACCAAGTGAATTAAACTTCACCCTCATTTCACTAGCAAGTGGCTATCAGGACTCAGTAGCTAAGTGGATAACGCAATTGAGTTAGAAGTGAACGGTACTGGGTTTGAGTCCCAGAGTGAACATAAACTCAGATGCACGTGCATCCAGCTGACGAGTACCAAATAGGACGAAATGCACGTCCTGCATTCCACTACTAGCCACTTTCCATCTTTGCTTATAATAGATTTGTGTTTTTCAACTGAATTAAATTGACTACAAGAACTAGCTTAAACAAACTTTCGAAAATCTAGTGTAAAATCTATAGAAACTACCTAATTTTATTCAGTGAAAGGTATAATGTTCTTAAGTATCATTTGAAATTACCAGCTGTCATCTGTTGTATCAATTCAACAATACGGAGAAAGAGAGAGGGAAATAGTGTTGGCTAGCTAACAAGACCAGAAGATAGCGTTAAAAGGTTAAACATTGTGGAAGAAATTTTTCCTAAGGTTGGCTGATTGATTTGTTCGCTTTATATCTATCTATCAGATCAATGATCTCCTCTTGATTAATAACTCACTTATCATGAAAAATGATTGGAGGTGTTACAAATAATCTCATGCCAGGTTCAGATATAAAACTTGGTTGAAATTAGACATTAACACCGTTGGATCCCGGTCAGCTCAGTAGTCTAGAGGTTAGGCGCTCGCGTAAGAGACTGATAAGTCCTGAGTTCGAACCTCACAAGACGGTATCGTGGATGCGCACTGCTGAAGAGTCCTATATTAGTACGAAACGGTTGTTCAGTGCTTTCAGATTTTCCATAGTAGTTTAGCTTCAATTAACTCATGATCTCAATCATTGAAATTACTATAAAACTTCTGTTGACTACTCAAATAACTCTTTAGTTGATATCATTTCTTAATGAAAATGAACTTGAAATTGTAAATGATCTTTTCAACAACAACAGCAACAACAAAAAGAATAATTAAAACAAAACAATATTTAGTCAATTTGTATATCCTGTATGTATGTGTGTGTGCGTGTGTGTGTGTGTGTAGTATATGTGTATGTGTGTGGTATGTATGCATATTCAGGAAATAACAACACATTAAGTAATTAAAATAACACTAAACTTTTGCTTTATACTGTACTATCTCTCTCCCTCTCTATTTATATTTTTTTACTCTTCATTTCATGTCAGTTGGCAACAAATCAAGGTGAAGTTGTGTTTTTTTTTGTTTTGTTTTATAATTTAAAGAATCAGTTTACCACATGAATGATGTTTCTATGTGTTTTTTTTTTAGCTTTACTTATTCTACAGATTATTCTTTTTTTGTTTATTTTCTTTCATCATCCCTATTCTTTATTACATTAATATTCCTTTTTTTTCTCTTTCAAATGATTCTTTATTTATTTGTGAGCCATTTCGTTTAACAACTAAAAAAAAACACAACTGCATTCTCTTATGAATTGGTACTCATAATACAAATGATAATGGGATTATGTTAATAGTCTAATGTTGTTTCCAATGGTTTGTTTATTTGTTTGTTTTCTTTCTATTTTCTAGTGTGTATGTTTCTTTCCTTTTCTTTTTTCTTCCGTTTCTCTCCTCCTTCACTCCCCTCTCTCAATCCCCCCTCACTCTTCCCCTCTCACTTCTCCCTCACTCCCCCCTTACTCTCCCTCTCTCTTCCTGTTTTTTTATATTTTTTGTCTTTTATAAAAAACATATATAAATATTGGCAAATATATAGAGTAAGGGATAGTAAGAGTTAGATTGTAAGTTAATGTTTACCACCTAGAACCTCGGTTTACTTTGCCAAATGTATATATATATATATATATATGTCATTTGATCAATTGCAATGTTACATGAATATTAGTATCAGTAATAAATAGATAATGTAGTACCAGGTTTTCCATGGTGGTCTAACTTCAATTGACTCATGATCTTAACCATTGAAATTAATATAATATCCACAAAACCCCTTCTGATATTAATCAACATATGCTCACTAGTGACTGACTTCAAGAGGTATATCCTAGAGTTCTAGTGAGAAGTAGTAACCAGTGGAGTTCAACTGTGTCTGTTGTGAGATAGTAACTCACTGAAGACAGGGGTGAATGCGTCGCTCAATTTCGTGGATTAGTTGAAGTTAGACATTAACACCGTTAGATGAAGGCCAGATCAGTGGCCTAAATATTAAGCGCTCGCGCGTGAGACTGATATGTCCTGGGTTTAAGTCTCATGAGGCGAGGTCGTGCATGCGCACTGCTGAAGAGTCCCACAATAGGACGAACCAGCCTTCCAATGCTTCTAAGTTTTCCATGATGATCTAGCTTCAATCGACTCATGATCTCAACTATTGAAAAAGATAAGAGACAAGATAGACCAGATGAGATAAAGTAAAAATAATTGTTCTGTCTTTAATAGAATAGATTTAGCCAGTGTTAAAAGAGAAGTTAATCAAATAGAAGGAATCATTTTACAAAACGTTTGGTAGTGGATTGCAAGAGAATATGGAATAGACATTTTTTCCTTCTTACTTGGAACTTACTAATTAAATTGCGAAGTAAATGATATTAGTCTTGGTGTGACTATTTCCACTAGTATTAAGGTACATTCATCTGAAGAATGCTAAATAAGGCCATATTGTTTAAATAAGATGGTGGTTGGAGGTAGTCAACAAGGAACTCTCGACCCGGGTTTCGTGCCGCTACTACACACATGACATTGAACACCACCCAGTGATCAATCAATTCTGATTACATCTCAGCCGTACAGAAGGTCGGTCGTGGCCCAGATAGCTCAGTGGTAACGTCTCAGACCGTGAAGCTGGGTGACACGAGATTGAGTCCGTCAGGGAGCACCAGTTCCCTCAAGATTACAGGTACACCTTGCTGACGAGTGCGAAATAGCACGAAACCCGTGTCTAGGGTTTCGTGTTGACTACCTCAAGTCACCATGTTATCTCAACATAGTGAACGCAATGTCCAGTCAACTAGACTGGTGGCCATATTGCAACATGGTCGATAGCATTTGATCTGAACTAAGAAGGACTTGATATACATGAAATTGATCACCACCCACTGATCAATCAATTGTGAAAACCACTTTGTTCTAGTATTAGACTACCCAGAAGTGCACATTCATAATTCTATGAGAAATCCTACATTGATCTATGGTACAGTTATGAATGTGAACAATTAAGTAGTCCAACACTAGATTGGAACAACTATCTTGTACATCCTGCTTGTCAGTGGTTGTCTAAGTTAGATCAGTCAATGATGTAAACTCAAAATTTTATCTGCAACTAGTATAATTGTAATGAACAATGTAAACAAGTGAATTAATCATACTTTCATTCATCTAAGTAATTAATGTTAACACTTTATAATTTAGTCAACCTTTTACCCATTCATCTGCATAAAACTGTTTTACATGTTTGTGTATTTCTAGTTATTTTTTCGCAAAATATAGATGATTAAAGTTATATCAAATTGAGATGATGAATCGATCAATGTTAAACGACTATTTCAGATCTGGAATCGCTGGACGGCCGTTTCATCCCACTATGGGAATCCTCAGCAGTGCGCATCCACAATCTCTCCTTACGTGGATTGGTTGAAGTTAGACATTAACACCATTGGATGTCGACTCAATGGTCTAGAGCTTAAGTGTTCGCGCGCGAGACTGATAGCTCCTGAGTTCAAATCCCGAGGGTCAGGGTCATAGATACGTGTTGCTGAGGCGTCCTACAATAGGACGAAATGGTCGTTCAGTGCATCAAGGTGGTCTAGCTTTAATTTACTCATGATCTCAACTATTAATGGGTTAATGGTTCAAAACAACGAATATAGATTCATCAGTCACGGTTCATTGATACATGCCCAGTTGAATAGATTATTAGTATAATGGAGGAAATTTATTTATAATCATCTAGAATGAAACTAACCTCTTAATTAGTATGTATAGTTTGATCAAATAACACAACTTAAAAATATAGATGAATGAATATTCAAAGACCCAATAACAGGTTAGCAAGAAAGAGTTAATATACATTACATTATGACAAATATATGGAAGAAATAATACAGTATGGTAAATATCACTTAAAATACAAATGATTATAAGTAAGGGAGTTCAATAGGTCAATTAACGTTTATTAACAATGAGATCTAACTATCGATCTGACTTACTTTTTAGTAACTTATTATCAAAAGGGGTTTTGTGGAGATTTCAATAACTTTACAGTTGAACTTATGATTCAATTAAACCTATACCACCATGGAAAACCTGGAAGCACTAGACGTTTGTTTCATCCTAGTATGAGACTCTTCAGTGACAGCGCGTACCCACGATCTCGACCTATTAGATTCGAACCCAGAATCTACCAGTTTCACGCGCGAATGCTTAACTTAGTCGGCATTCAACAGTATTTGTTTTATTTAAACACATAAACATTGGTATAAGGAGGCACCAAATACATATGCGCCACATAAATCTTTCGATTTGTGTGGGGGCTGGGATACTGACCGGGTGCTCAGACCGAAGCAGGTGGTTTTCCTAGGGGGCCACTCGCCGAGCCTTTGACCTAAAGGTCTGACCCACAAGGCAGTGGAGCGTTGTAACGAGATGCAGTCCCTTGGAAGCCGGTGACCAACGATTGGTTCATACGCCATTTGCTCCCACAGGATACTGGAGCCCATGTGCACCGTCGGTTTGGAATCCGGTTAAAGCGCTGGACATTCGCTTTTCGTCCTCTCAATTTCGCAAACGACACCCGTGGTGCGAGAAGTCAATGAGTAGGACTTCCCTGGCAGAGGCTGTATACGCGTGACCATGTGAGAGCATTTCGAGTGGGAGGGCGGGTTCACCCTACTCTCGGTCATATCAGGGCATTTGGGGGCAGTATCAATATCTAACTTGTGTTTTGATTTGTTCTTCTTCTTGTTTGTAATAAACATACATTTTCTACACATAAATATCATTGTTTTCTGCAATCCTCCTCCTCCCTTCTCCCCTCCTTATTTATTATCTTTTCTTTGTATCTAGGTATTTAGCTGTAACACAACCAATAATCTATGCAAAACATAATAATATGAAACGTGTACAAATATCTATTGCATTAGTATGGATTGTATCATTCTTAATAGCTATACCACTAATATGCGGTTTAAATGTAAATCGTTATAATGATCCAACTATATGTCAATCATTTAATGCCTTATATATTATATGTTCATCATTAGGTTCATTTTATTTACCAGCTATTATATTAATTGTTGTTTATCAACGTATATTTGCTTTAATTAAACAACGACATAAATTATTACGATTAAATCAATCATTAAAACAACAACCATATACATCATCATTACAACAATTACAATTACAAAGAAAACAATCAAGATTACATGAAGACGATGATGACGATGAAGAAGAAGAAGAAGAAGAACAAGAACAAGAAGGACGGGTAGTAAAAGAAGAAGAAGAACAACAACAACAACAGGAACAACAATCGATTGTTCAATTATATGATCGTATTTGTTTAAATAATGATCAAACTATATCTACATTATATCAGACAACAACAGCACCAACAACGACAACAACCACTACTACTACGACGACTACTACAATAATGAATTCAAATGATGAAATTAGTTATTCTGAATTACAGTCATCTTCACCAATCAAAGTAATAGAATGCATAAAACAACATGATCCAGATCATAAACAATTTACTAATGAATTCGATGAGAATTTCTCGGATCTAAATTTTGAAGGACCACGTTATGATATATCATCACCAAATTTAAATAATTCTGATCGATTCATTTCAATGATAAATTATACCTATTCAATGGATCATTTGAAATTAACCAATCAAAATAAAAGAAGTCATTTCAATGAAAATAATAATGATTTAATAAATAATCACTTGAATCAATTATATCATTCTGATATAGATTTAAATACAATTCAATCAATGGAATCACCTAAACATATATTGAATAATTCAAATGATGTATCACTTATATCACCATATACCAAAGACGATGACGATGATGATGACGATGATGACGATGATCATGATGATGATATTAATGAATCTAGGACTACATTTCAATGTGGTTATCTATATAATATATCACCTTCTATACATTCAGAAGAAGAGAAACAATCACATACAGAACAAAAACAAACTACTCAAAATTCTCCAATGATATTAAAAGAAGTTATTTGTAATTCAAAGAAACAATCAAAATCTTCGATATTGTCATTTGAAAAGTTTAATTCATATTCAACACAAAAATCTTCTTCTTGTCATCATCATCGTCATCGTCATCGTCATCATCGTGATCATCATCATATCTTATCTAGATCAAATATTAGAAATCTATTCAAATTATCATGGATTCATAAGTGTTTAAATCATTCACATGTATATAGTGGTTCTTCATCATCAAATAACTCTGAATATTCATGTCCTGGACTATGTTCAGAAGAGATGATAAATTATAGGATTAAATTAAATAAAGGTCAGTTTTACAAGAACTATAATGGTGATGAAGAAGAAGATAATGATGATGATGATGATGATGATGATGACGATGATTATGATGATGATGATGATGTTGACGACGACGATGAAGACGATGATGATGATGAAACTGTGAATGAATTAACTTCATGTAAATTTTGTCAAAATCAATTAAAATCAAATTCATTATATCAATCATATGAATGTATTCAATGTCAACCAATTATATTTCAATATAATTGTCAATCATTTAATCAAAATAAATCTATTCCATTACAAAATAATCATAAAATAAATTGTTACCATAGTAACGGATTAATGAATAAAACTCATGAAAGAATCAATAAGAAAAAATGAAAAATTCAAAAAATAAATTCAAATTTGAATTTTCCCGCGATAAATTTAAATTTCAATTCAATGATCAATTTAAACAAAATATACAAGATTTTATCAAATATTTAATTAGATTATTTAAATTTATTCATTATAAAACAAATATAAATGATCCTATAAATCATAATCATAATCATCATCATCATAATAATAAAACAATGACAACTAATTCAATTCTACCTATTGATATAGATATAAGTAGTGGTAAATCAACCCAAAAAACATTCTATAGTCAAAGTCCTATATATAAAACAATAAAAACTAAAAATATTCTATCAAATAAAGAGAAAAAAGCAACAAAAACATTAGCTATTGTATTAGGTAAGTTCATTTGCCTAGTAACAATAAGATATTTAGATATAGAAACTAGAATTGTGTTACTATCTCATAACAGATCTGGTTGATGATGATGATGATGACTGAGAGGAGTAAGGGTTAAGGTTAAAAGGTATTGAATTTCACACTATAATTTATTGGACAAATCAATTAGAAAGGGTTTGTAGAGATTTTAGAAATTTCATAGATTGAAATGATGAGTCAGTTGAAGCTAGACCACCATGGAAAACCTGGATGTTGAAGTTAGACATTCACACCATTGGATTACGGCAGACTCAGTGGTCTAGTCGATTAAGCGCCTGGCGCGAGACTGATAAGTCCTGGGTTCAAAACTCGCGGGATGCGTGATCGTGGATGCGCACTGCCACTGAGGAGTCTCATACTAGGACGAAACGGCCGTCCAGTGCTTCCAAGTCTCCCATGGTGGTCTAGCTTCAAGCGACTCATGATTTCAATTTGTGAAATCAACTAGATTTAGGATAATAAATCTTGGATTTCGATGTGAAATTTTTTCATCTATCGGATTAAATAGCGTTTTGGCATTAAGTTAATGTTAGTACATGATGAAATTCATAAATCTAAATCCTAATCCTTACCATCAACTGTAAATCACTATCTTTATTCTTTAAACTCCTTTATAATCTAGTCTTATTATGTAGGTAGATACTCTCGGGGTCACTTTGGCGTCGCTTAAAGATCGTCCATAAATTATAGTCTCACCAGATTTGTATATAGTGACTAGAAGTGAAATTTACGATTCATATCTCATCGCATTTGGTACATATAGATTAGATGATGACTTGAGGGAGATGGAGGGTTAAGATTAAGATGAAATTTGTATCCTGCATTCTACTGTTAGTTGACTTTAATGAAAACTTGTGGAAACATTGCAATATCGATGTGATTGACTCAGAATGCATAAATACATTAATAGAGATTAGTTGCAGCTCTTCTTTACATTTATAAATGTAAAATACGAACCCTTCCAAATTGCTAGAAACCTAGCTTTTTCTTATTACAAGGTTGTACTAGGCTAGACAATCATTAAAACTAAGGAGAATCGGGAATTTTGCCAACATTCAACAGGAACTCCACATCAAACTGTTTTAATGTGCTTAAAAGTCATAAGTTGAATGCATCTATATTGTTTGAATGAGTATAAAATGACAATGTACAGTACTACCGCTTTAAATGTTACTTAAAAACCTATCTACATTAGTAACTTGTCTGATCATAGAAAACTGAGTGTAATGATCACTTCATCTAGTCTAAGTGTTTCGTTGACCCAGATAGATTAATGGCTGAATAAATCTCGATATTAACACAAAATGAAATTGGTTAACGTCAACATTTGGTATTTGTAGAATTAGTGCAATTTCTGTCTACATACAAGGAGTTCGTTCAGTACTTCTTCATGGCTGGGAAGTCTACCAATCGAAGGTAAAATACGTGAGTATGTCAATAGAATGGTAATGCAAAGATCTTTCAGCATTTATTAGGATACGGATAAACCATTATACAAGTTATCTTAAGGTCACGCATAAGAGTACTTCATGGAGTCGAATAGCCAAACCAGAAACTCTTGTCAATTTAAAAGGGTAAGATATATGACATATAGGCAAACTGACATTGCTTTTGATGTATTAACTAATGATTATATAAGTGTATGAAAGAAAGCTGAATGTGGTCAGACTAAAGGCAAACATCAATTCCCGGCTATTTTAGTAAGTTCACGTGGTAATTAAAATTCCTTGTTGGAGACCTTATTTAAAATAGCTCAATATCAATGGCATAGGTACACAGGTATGAAATCTTCATCTTTAAAACGATTTCCAGTCTTAGTATTGTTTCACTATCTATATTCCTCATTTTCAATGGTTTTCATACCCATGAACTACTGGCATAATATTTGTCGCGAAACCTGGATATTCTGGATTCGGTTAAAAGGTATGTATGTGAATTTCACTGTTGTGGAGTTCCATACTAGAAAGAAATAGCGATCCAATACTCTCTGACTTCTAATGGCATTCAAGTTAAGATCAAACTGTGATGAATATTGTATACTAATTAAACCAGTGCTGACAAAACCTCTAGAAATGAACCAGATTTTCAATGGTTTTCTTTTCTATCATCACTGATATTACATTTATCTTAACTTGTCCGTCTTTCTCAAGCGAAGAGTAAGGATTTGAACCAGTTTCACTGTCATCTGATTTCCTAATCAACCTAGAAAATTGTATTAGAACTAGATAATCAAACAACAGTGTAACTCATTTCTTAGTTTATCATGTGTATATTCAATCAAACAAGCTTCAGTGAAACTTTGAATCTGGAATGCGGTCGTTCTTCATTAATCTCATTAATCAACGTTCTTCAAGATCGAAATTCTATAACCAAACTTAATTATTCTGTTTGATCACTAAGCAGTAACCATTGTTGTATTTACGAAACCTTCATAAATACCATCAAACTTCTATCAACCCCTCACTGTGGCAAAGGTTCATATTCATAAGGGAGGATTAGTTCTCTCAAACTGTAAAACACGCCTTAATGGAAAGTTTAGACTACAGTTTAACCTTTACGTACTATGTTTCATTTACTGTCTACATACAACTAAAGTTGAAAACGCATTACCAATTTCATGGTTTTTCATCATTGAATAACCTGATCTAAACACCCAATAGAAACAAGAATGCACTTGATTCCTCAATACTCCACATCGATAGCTCTATTGCTGATCAAACTCATGTCTATCAAAAAAGGCCTACTAAGTTCTTATCTATCAGTCCTTATTCATAACTTCATAACTTCAATTCATTATATGGTGAGACTATAATTTATGGACGACCTTTGAGCGATGCTATAGTAACCTTGAGAGTGTCAACCTACTTATAAGGGCTAAGTGAAGGTTATAAAGCAGTTTGCAGAATAAGGATTATGATTTATAGTTGATGGTTAGATTTAGGGTTTTCATCACGAACTGACATCAGCTATAATACCAGGATTCCGTTTAGCCAAATAGATGAATGAATTCCGCGTGAAAATACAAGACCTGTTATCGTAAATCTGATTGGTTCGTCCATAAATTATTTGTTTATTATTTATTTATTTTAACACATAAATATTGGTACAAGGAGGCACCAAATACATATGCGCCACACAAATCTCATTCGATATGTGTGAGGGCTGTGATACTATCCGGGTGCCCAAACCGAAGCAGGTGGTTTTCTTAGAGGCCACTCCCCGAGCCTTTGACCTGAAGGTCTGATCCACAAGGCAGTGGAGCATCGTAAGGAGATGCAGTCCCATGGTAGCCGGTGATAAACGATTGGTTCATACGCCATTCATACTGGAGCCCATGTGCACCGTTGGTTTGGAATCCGGTTAAAGCGCCGGACATAAACTATAGTCTCGACCATAATATTTTACAATCATCTTCAAATGAAATTAATACTTAACAATCTCACAGTAAGAATAATTGAACTCTATTAGTCATAGCTTCACAATAGAGCACATAGAGCACATGGAAACAAAACTCTTCATATCATTCATAGTTACTATTCATGATTTCATTGTATACATTACAATTACAAAAAAACATATCGATTTTCTTTTTTTTTCTTTTTTCTCTTTATTTTAGGTGTTTTTCTAGCATGTTGGTTACCATTTTTTTCTATTAATATTGGTTTAGGTTTATGTATTTATTTAGGATCAGATCAATATGGTCTATGTGAATATGCTAGTAAATTAATGTCATCATGTACATGGCTTGGTTATATTAATTCTGCATTAAATCCAATTATTTATACAATATTCAATATGGAATTTCGTTTAGCATTTCAAAAACTATTACATATCAAATAATAATAATAATAATAAAGGGGAAATGATAGTGACTTCGAATAGATGACTCTGTAATTGTATATTTTCTATGGATGTATATATACAGAAAGTGGAAATATTCAATAAATTGATAGAAATTACAAGTGAAGTATATTTTCTATTAAAATTCGAAGGGGGTGTGGGGTGGGGGTGTTATAAGTAAGGATGGATGGTGACTAGTAGTGGAATCTTGGTTGACGCACGTTTTGTCCTATTTAGGACTCGTCTACAGTTGAATATATCTGTATCTCAGAGTTGATGTGTCACTCTGAGACTTGAACTCAGTACTGTTCGCTTCAAACACCATCGTGTTATCCATCTGGTTATATTAATTCTGCATTAAATCCAATTATTTATACAATATTCAATATGGAATTTCGTTTAGCATTTCAAAAACTATTACATATCAAATAATAATAATAATAATAAAGGGGAAATGATAGTGACTTCGAATAGATGACTCTGTAATTGTATATTTTCTATGGATGTATATATACAGAAAGTGGAAATATTCAATAAATTGATAGAAATTACAAGTGAAGTATATTTTCTATTAAAATTCGAAGGGGGTGTGGGGTGGGGGTGTTATAAGTAAGGATGGATGGTGACTAGTAGTGGAATCTTGGTTGACGCACGTTTTGTCCTATTTAGGACTCGTCTACAGTTGAATATATCTGTAGCTCAGAGTTGATGTGTCACTCTGAGACTTGAACTCAGTACTGTTCGCTTCAAACACCATCGTGTTATCCATCTGGTTATATTAATTCTGCATTAAATCCAATTATTTATACAATATTCAATATGGAATTTCGTTTAGCATTTCAAAAACTATTACATATCAAATAATAATAATAATAATAAAGGGGAAATGATAGTGACTTCGAATAGATGACTCTGTAATTGTATATTTTCTATGGATGTATATATACAGAAAGGGGAAATAATCAATAAATTGATAGAAATTACAAGTGAAGTATATTTTCTATTAAAATTTGAAGGGGGTGTAGAGTGGGGGTGGAGGTGGAAATGAAAACTGTCATGTTGTTAAGTGTTATAAGTAAAGATGGATAGTGACTAGTAGTGGAATCTAGTTTGACGCACGTTTTGTCCTATTTAGGACTCGTCTACAGTTGAATATATCTGTATCTCAGAGTTGATGTGTCACTCTGAGACTTGAACTCAGTACTGTTCGCTTCAAACACCATCGTGTTATCCATCTGGTTATATTAATTCTGCATTAAATCCAATTATTTATACAATATTCAATATGGAATTTCGTTTAGCATTTCAAAAACTATTAAATATCAAATAATATCGGAAGGGGTTTGTGGAGATTTTATAAACTTCACAGATTGAGTTCATGAGTCAATTAAAGCTAGACCACCATGGAAAACTTGGAAGCACTGGACGGCCGTTTCGTCCAGTATCAGACTCCTCAGTATCGCGCATTCACGGTCCTGCACTCCGCGAGATTCGAACCCAGGACTTATCAGTCTCGTGCCAGGCGCCTAACTAACTAGACCAACGAGCCGGCACCCAATGGTGTCAATGTCTAACTTCAACCAATCCAATATCAAATAATAGTAAGGAGAAATGAAAGTGATTTCTAATAGATTACTGTAATGCGGGTGTTTGGCGAGGATGGAGGTGGAAATAAAAACTGCCATGATTTTAGGTGATTTTATTATATGTTTCGTAAAAAGTTATTTTTGTATAGTTCAAAGAGAGTTAACGAGAAAGTCATTGGTTTAATTGGTGTAAAACCATACTCCTCTGTAATCAAGTGATCTTGCCTACTGTCGACATATCAAAGATTGAATTCACAGAATTATCTTCACATATTCTTGCTAGGTTTGCAGCGGTTACGAGTTCACTTAGACATGCATTGAGTTTTGGCTTGTGTAGTTTATATATGTAGGTATTTGCGAAGGGTATGCGCGTGGGTTAGCTCGAATAACGTAAGCCGACAAAATATCTGCACTATATCTAGTAAAATCAACAGCCTAATCCTTCAGGTTGAAGATATAATACGAATAATCTGGGAGCAAATACGAGGAGAAGGTACCCATCAATTCTCTCTGAAAGAGTGCTTATGTTTATATGTATATCACGAAATGCAGAGCTTAAAACCTTTACACCAGTGATGTCCTTGTAATGTGTAAGTGACAGTCAGTTGTAGAAAATACATTAGGATGAATCTATTTGTATCAATACTATGGAATCCATGAGTGAAAACTTGTGTGTTACCGGTGTTCACGTATCAAATATTTGCGCTCAGAGTTAACTATACCAATGTGTATATCAAAGGATGGATAAATGAAAACTTATATGATACCATAATACCTATATAATTACCCCTGGTACGATTTATGCGCTTTACAACTCGGTGGTTTCGAGGTGGGTTTAAGGGCCTTGTAAAATGGAGTCCACTTCTAGAAAAGTCAATCGGTTTCACGGGATAAGACTTGACTAAACTTAACACTGTTGGAAAATCGCACCATAAAACCTTAGTATCCTGAGTAATTTCGATGATCAAACAAGAACCAGCGTTTTCAAAGTTGTATGGTCCCTGACAATTACAGTTCGACTCAAACTATACATCAACACAACACGAACACCAACTAATTAACTTCCTGTACTTAATTTTCAATGAATTTTCATTATATAAGTAAATTCTCCAATGACAATGATTAAATTTGATAATTTCTGAAACTAATAATCATTGAATTTATTCAATGTATAATTCAATGAACTCGAGTTTAATTCAGAAATACACTGAAGTCTCTATCATATAAATCTTCTTCGCAATATTTACAGTTAGGTAAGGTTGGAGCAAAAGAAAAAAGAAGTGTTATTTGACACATCTCTGTGATCAATGAGCATATCCACATGAAAATAGCTTTCATATTGTTTAGTGAAATTTGATTTTCTGGGTTAGTTGAATTTAGACAATAAAACCGTTGGATGCTGGCCATTTGAGTGATGTAGTGGTTAAGCGCTCGCACACGAGGCCGATAGGTCTTGGGTTCGAATCCCAAGAAGCGGGATGGTGGATGTGCACTGCTGAGGCGTCCCAAAATAGGACGAAACGCTCGTCCAGTACTTCAAGGTTCTCCATAGTGATCTAGCTTTAATTGGCCCATGATCTCAACTATTGAAATTTGATTTTATTGATAATGAGTATAATTAAAAGATTTATGATTTCGAAATTGTAAAAATTACGTAATAACTTATTTGGACATTGACAACAATTTAGTATTTTAACAGAAATGAAACCAACTGATCTAATAATTTTCTGATTAATTCATACAGAGTAAATCGATACAAAATCAACTTTATTGATCAAAAGTTGATCCAAAAGAAAAGAGAAGATCAAATAACAAAGGCAAAACCATATCAGATTATTTTCTTTCTCTTTTGATTGAGATCATGAGTCGATCAATATTAGATCACCATGATATTTCCGTTTAACAATTTGAATAGTTTATAATAGGTTACATTGCAAAATTACAAACGATTTTTGATTATTTGAGATGAAATCGATAATTAATGGTTAAGTTCATAAGTCTTTTTAAAGCTAGACCACCATGGAAAACCTAAAAGCATTGAACAGCTAGATGGTGGTTGGAGGTAGTCAACAAGAAACCCTAGACACGGGTTTCGTGCTATTTCGCACTCGTAAGCAAGGTGTACCTGTAATCTTGAGGGAACTGGTGCTCCCTGACGGACTCAATCTTGTGTCACCCAGCTTCACAGTCAGAGACATTACCACTAAGCTATCCGGGCCACGACCGACCTTCTGTACGGCTGAGATGTAATCAGAATTGATTGATCACTGGGTGGTGTTCAATGTCATGTGTGTCAAGTCCTTCTAAGTGCAGATCGAATGCTATAGACAAAGTTACAATGTGGCCACTAGTCTAGGTGACTCGAACCCGTCAGGGATCACCAGTTCTCTAAAGATTACAGGTACACATTGCTGACGAGTTCCAAGTATCACGAAACCCGTGTCCAGAGTTTCATGTAGACTACCCTCCAACCACCATCTTATCTCAACATAGTGCACTCAATATCGAGTCACCTAGACTGGTGGCCACATTGCAACATGATCGATGGCATTCGATCTGCACTAATAAGGACTAGACAAGCATTAGATTGATCACCACCCAGTGATCAATCAGCTGTAAACACTGAACAGCTGTTTCGTCATAATATTGGACTCCTCAGTAGTGCGCATCCATGATCCCGCTCGCGGGATTCCAACTCATGACCTAATTAATCAATGTACACATTTATTGGCATATTGAAAAAAAGTTTATTAAAATCTAAATAAAAATGAGAAATATCTTATATGTCATATCGTATATAAAGAAATGTCTAAAAAATATCATGAATGGATTGAGCGTTCATACGTGAGACCCAAAGTCATGGGTTCGAATCCCGAGAAGCGGGATCGTGGATGCCCACTGTTAAGGAGTCCTATACTAGGACTAAAAGTCCATCCAGTGTTTCCAGAGTTTCCATAGTGGTCTAGATTCAATTGACTCATGAATTCAATTATGAAGTTTATTGTTCTTTTCTTTCTTTTTCCTTTCGTTTTGCTTAAAGATTATTGTTTCTGATTACAAATTATAATGTGTATGCTTATCATTAAAATTATGCATAATTTCATTTACATTTGGATAAAGAGACCAGAAGAAAATGAGAATTCAAAGGAAATAATCTTATAATTGGAATTCATTAATCAAAATATTGTTGCTGGGTCTTTTTTTCTTGTTCACATCTTTTGAGATGGTGGAGAAGATTTGTCGATCAGGTGGATGATTTTAATAGAGTTTAGTTCTTTGAGCTGGGTAGTTTAATTATGGAGCTTTCATCATTCACTTCTACCTGAAGTTTTATACTGATGATGTCGTTGTTCATAATGTCACATTCAGCTCAGAGAACAAAACTCCATCGAAATCTTGTTCACAACATAAACA